AAAAAAAAAAAATCAAAATAGAACTAAATAAAGCTACTAAATAAATTACAGCTAATAAATAAAATATAATCGAATCGAAAATAGAATGAATACATTACCTGATAAAAACAGATGCATATGTTGGCAAAAATAACTGTAATATATAGTAGCCATAAAGACGACGGAAATAGAAAGTGGCTTTCAACTGATCCCATTGACCTGCTGGATAGTAAAATTTTTGTTTTTGCCATGTAAATCTCGATAGTTGAAAATCTGGTAGTTTGTTCTACAAATTTTTATGTCATTTATTACTCACCTAAAACTATAAATTTTATACTGAAAAAAGCGTAGAAAGTTTTGTAGATAAGTCATAATACCTGTTTATCCAAGATTACACCAGTATCAAACCAATCTAACCGAACTTTTTCATTGTTAAATGAATAGGATTCAAAGGTTAGTGTACAGCGTTGAACATCCATAGGAAATGATGTCATATCCATGTCGCAGGGTGCCTGTACCTTTAGTGAAGAAGGAGAAAAACTAATTTTCTTTAATAGAAAAGCAAAAAAAATTTCTTCTTTACGCTGACAACTTTTTCTTTTCTATTTGAACTTTTTCTTTTTATTACTGTTATTTTATTGATACGTTTGTTAAAGAACATTATAGCAATCAGAAGTAATGAAGAACTAAAAACGGTTATTCATTCATTGGCATACTTTTCTGTTTATCAAAAAAATTTCCACAGAAATAATAGTTACCTTAACTCTGTAATTAACCCATATAGTACCATTTGGATAAATTAGTAGAAAAATATTTGGTGTTGGACTATTATGTACATTGGTAGATTTGCTGTTTTGAAAGCATACATCCGGCATCCATATATCGTCAATTGCTCGATGACTTAGCGTTAAATTTGGCAAACATCTTCAAGAGAAAAAAATTTGTCAACATCATATATACTTCCAAAATCACTTTTATTTTTATTTATTTTTCTTTCTTGTTTTATTTTTTCTTCAGCTTTTTTAAAATTTACTTATGTCTGTGCATGAAAAAAAAATTAGCCGACAAACTCAGTGGCAATGACTGACTAAATTTGCTCACTACAACTTTGCACCCGGACCAGTTAATTTCCCAATAATCAATTCCTTAATTATCGCACTGTGCCCAATAAAGAAAATAAAGCTTCTTTCCTTCTTTTTTATCTTTACTTTATTTTACTCTCAAATATTTCATTACATCGCTAAATTTGAAAAAAAAAATAAAAAAAAACGAAAAAAAAAGAACAATAAACAAAATCCCGTAATATGTTTAAAAAAATCACTTATTTTTTTCCCTCATTCTATTTTAAAGTGTAAACAACAAAAGAGTAACAAAAAGAAGCAAATTTTTTGAAAAGCCCCTAATGAAGTGAAAATTAAATTTTTTACTTCAACTTATTTGCATATTAAAGTATTTTGCAAAAATACTACATGAACTTCAAAAAAAAATTTACAACAACTTTTTTTTTCTGTTTTTTCTACTCTTCTATTATATTACGAATCTTTTATTCTATATTTATATAGTATCCCTCCTTAACACAAATTTTTTTTTTGATTATTTAGTCGGTTTTAAAAACGGTCTTATTTCGCTGCTTAAGAATAGATAATTAGATAATGTTTGGCTTAAAACTTACGCTGTTATATTGCCAAATGCTAATCCGGGATCAAGCCAAATTTGACTAAATAGTACATCGGCAGTAAAACTCGCTGCAATCTCTGATATACTTGATATATCTTGCAGTATTAAATCAACTTTAACGTTAACACCACCTTCACTTGGTACTGTCTTACTGTCATAGGTTAGCATAACATTTTCAAGAACAGCCTAAATTATTTCTCGCAATAAGCTGTGAAATATTCTTGGCATTCATTAACTGTTCTGCAAACTTTAATACCTCATTTTAGTTTTTATCGACAGTCTACTAATCTTTGCACATAGACACATATACTAGATTGAAATTAAACAGTAAGAAAGTGTGAATATTAAGTGAAGTAATTAAAAATAAATCTCATAACATTTATAATGCTTAGATTGAGAGGTAAATAAGTAGATCTGCAAATATTCTCAGCCTAAAGCATAAATATTATCTAGTTTACGCCAGAATGCTTGAACTATTAATAGCTATTAGTTTATTCCTTGTTAAGCAACAGTCGCAGTAAAGTAAAGCTTCTCGCTCTATTTTTTTCAGTTAATTTTTTCTTTTATTCTTCTCTATTCTAGTTTCCAAATATAAAACAAAATTTTTTTATTTTACTAAACAAAATACTTGCAAAACAGAATCAATTTTCTTTTTTTACAAATAACTGCTGTTTGATTGTCGAATACAAATCACAACTATCAGCGCTTGTAATAATTGAATCCAAAATTTTCAAGTTTTTTTTTGAAGATTTGAAAAAAGAGAGCCTTCACAAGCTATTGCTTAGATAATAAAAGAAATAATGTCCAAAAAAAGGGTTGTCTAACAGCGAACATCATTTAGGTTTTTTTTAGGTTTTTTAGAGAATCATTTTGACTGATATATCAGTGCTTACTTTTGCCAAACGATCCTTTGTCCACGAACAACCTCTACTTTTGATGACATCAATGGCACGTCTTCTGGCCATTAATTCCTCATGTCGACTACCCGCTTTCCTAGTCATCATCTTAGAGTGTCTAACATTATCTATCACCTAATTAAAAATGTTTCTTATAAGATAGAAAAAAAATTTGAAGAAATATAATAAAAGTAAAATAAAAATGAAGAAAACTGACCAAAGCATTTGTATTTGATATTATTTTGTGTTAAGAAAGAAAAAAAGAAACAAAACAGTAGAAAAATTATAAATAAAATAAAGTTTGAATAATTATTTTAAAAAATTTAGTTGCTTAATAAGTAAAATATAAATTAATTTTTTATTCTGTAAACTTTTTCAGCAATTTTTTCTTCTTTATTGATTTCTGCAATAAAGTTGGTTGTATTCCTTGAAAACGGCTAATGAATTAAAAGAGAGAAAAAATTTTTGAGGACCATTAATATATTTTTCAGAAAAGAATCAGTTCTTAATCAGAAAGAGGGAAAATAACAACTTACATAGTCATAGTCGTCTTCGTTCAGCTGGAAAGACACTGCAAATTGAGCGATATAAATAAAATTTAAAAAAACGACAAAAAATTGCTGAAGAAGTAACATTTCGAATGTATTTGGGGTGTCAACTATAAGTCTTTGTTAACTTTAAATCAAGTCTGATGGTTAGCGTTGTTGTTGTTTTTTTTTCTTTATTTCCATTTTCATAAAAAGGCTCTAAAGGGGAGTGGCTTATAACTTAACGTATATGGGGACGAAGACGAAGAAAACGAAGCTGTTGGACAACAGCGATGATATAACAACTGTGAAAACATTAAGTATATATATATATATATATATATATATATATATATA